GAGCCATCCATCCAGCCAGGGACAGTCCGTTGGGGCTCTGGGAGTTCCATTGGGGAAGGTGGTGTTTTTAAGAGCAGAAAACAATTGCAGTCCCACAGAGCGAGAAATGTAGAGACCTGATGTGAGCACTGTTCCCTCTAAGCTGAGTTAGTGTGAGCTAGCTCACAGTTTTTTAGCTTCCAGCTCACACATTTTTGTCTTAGCTCAGGAAGGGATGGCTCCAGAACAAACTAATTTATGCAGAAGCCAAATCGCTCGCTCACAACTTTAATGCCAGTAGCTCACAGAGTAGAATTTTTGCTCACAAGACCCCACAGCTTAGAGGGAACATTGGATGTGAGTTTCATTTGCAAAATCCTCAGTTCCCCCCTGTTTGTGACTGGCACTCCCATTTATATGTCACATTCAGCCCCACAATTATGGAACGACCTCACCAGGGAAGTGCACCTGGCCCCCTCACTTGAGGAGGCAGCTGAAGACTGTTACATATAGGGCTGCATTTGGTTACATTTCCTAGCAGTTCTGAGCTGTGCTTTTGGTTTTTATTATCTATCTTACTCTCTGTATTTTATCTCTCTGCATTTTATCTATGTCATAAGCCGCCTTTAGCTCTGTGAGGAAAGCAACTAACAAGTCTTTTAGATAAACAATGAATTAACTCACTCAAAAACGATCTCTGCAGTACTCACAAGGTGAGCTACAACTGTCCCAGTTCCACCCAGTTCCACTTCTGCCTTTAAGCATTTTGAAGCAGGGTGATAATTTATCAAGTGAAGCTCCCCCACCCCAATCTTTGTAACATTAGTAAGTGAATGGCTGCACCTGTCCTGTTCCTGAGAGTTCTTAAAGGAACAGGAGAGCGGCCCCTCAAAAAAGGAGGGGGAAATCCCCTCAGACTCCCAAATGTGGAAAATATGACCATATTACGGACAAAGCTCATTTTAATCCTGTCTGCAGAACCAATTTTTAAAAGTCTATTTTTAAATATGTAATTTGGCCTCACAAATGACTCAGACGACCTTGAGAGTTCACATCAGCCTTCACTGTCACACCTAACAGTTATTGCACCATCTTTAGATGTAGCCAGCAGGTCAAGTGTGGAACGAAGCGCTACTGGCCTCTCTCCCCCTTCATTAACACACCACTTCAGACTGTGTGATGTAAACAACAAAGAGTGCGAGCGTGCTACCAAGTGAATAGGAAGTCAAGTTTCTACAGGAGAGACGTGGACTGGAAGGGTTTGGTTGAAGAGCTCTCGACTGGAGTACAGACTGGCCCTCACACAAAAGAAATGTCAAAAATCTGGTTGTACTGAAGTCGAGATTTGCATCTTCTTTGTCTGAGGGGAGAGTGCTCAGAATAAATCAGACACCCATCTCAGAGTGCCTGAAGAAAGAACCTGGGAATTAGGTCTTTCTATGCTGCAGGGAAGATTCTCACGAAATTTGGAATTTAAATCCAGGCGAGCCACTAAATGGCACTATAATCCTGCACAGAGTTAGGCTGTGGGTTTTATTTAGTGAGAAAATGTGCATGCCTCCTCTCCAAACTTACAGGATTGCCACTTTGGTGAATTCTCCCACAGTTGGTGAAAACTAAAAGACCGCTGTGGCTACCACTATCACCCTAAATCCTTAAAACAGACATAACATGAATGACAAGAGTCACTGAGGGCTGAAATTATGTTTGGTGTTAGTTTATGACTATGCCCACAAAATCTCCCTTGCTGAGACTGAACCTGCTTTAAGCTTTTAGTTCTTGTGGGTATTCACAACAGGTTGCTGACAAACAGGCTGTATCTGGAATATTCCCAAAATATCTAAGCAGGAATACCAACAGTGGGGACTCACAGCACTGCACAGCATATACTCTCTTTTCCGTTCTCATATACCCTAGCTCCTCTGTCTTTATTCTCCATGTTCTTCTAATCTTTCAATATCCCACTCCTGATGACAAGCAAATTTAAGACTGCATTCACTGATGCTATATTTTCCATGTCAAATTTACTGTCCCACATATGTAAATATAGTCTGTTTATTCAAAGAAGAAGAGTTTGGATTTATACCCCGCCCTTCACTTGGAGTCTCAGAGTGTCTTACAACCTCCTTTCCCTTCCCCTCCCCACAACAGACACCCTGTGAGGAAGGTGGGGCTGAGAGACCTCTTCCGAGAACTGCTCTTGAGAGAACAGCTCTGAGAGAACCTGTGACTGACCCAAGGTCACACCAGCAGCTGCATGTGGAGGAGTGAGGAATCGAACCCGGTTCTCCCAGATTAGAGTCTGCGCTCTTAACTACTACACCAAACTGGCTCTCTTCTATGTGACCCTTCCACCCAAATAGGGTCCCCAAGGTGGGGAACAACAGTAATACATTTCAATATTAAAGACATTTAAAACAAAGTGTGCATGTGTGTGTATAATTCAATAAAACATATAAACACACATGAGAGAAAAACTGGGAGGTGGCCAATAACAGTTAGTGGGGGTATGCCAATCGGAACAAAAAAGTCTTCAGCTGCTAAAATACAACAATAGGAGACAGATAAATCTCCCTGGGGAGGGAGTTCTGAAGTTTTGGGGCCATGACAGAGAAGGCCCTTTCTCGGTTTGCCACACATCTAGGCTCAGATGGCACCTGGAGCAGGACTACTGGAGTGGACAGGAAGGTTGATATGAGAGAAGACAGTCCTTAAAATATGCTGGCCCCAAGGCATACAGGACTTTAAAGGTCAATATCAGCACCTTGCATTGGCCCAGAAACAAATTGGAAGCCTGGAGTGATATGGACCCGATGACCCACTCCAGTCGACATTTTCGCTACAGCATTCTGTACCAACTGTAACTTTTGGGCAGACTTCAAAGGCAGCCCCATGTAGAGCATGTTGCAGTCAATCTCCCCACTCAGGAAGGGTTGCAGCAAAGCTGGTGAAAGGCACCCCTGGCCACCACTGCCATCTGTTTATCCAACAGGATGCCCAAGTCCAGTAGCACTCCCAGGCTATGAACCCTGTTCCTTTGGGGGAGTGCAACCCCGTGCAGAACAGATGTCCCATTTCTTTGGTCAGACCCCCCCCCTCGCAGTAGTACCCACCTCCGTTTTGCTGAGATTAAGTTTCAGTTTGCTAGCTATCACCCATTCCAAAACTGCCTCCGGGCCAGTGTTCCCTCTATGCTGAGTTAGTGTGAGCTAGCTCACAGTTTTTTAACCTCCAGCTCACAGATTCTGGTCTTAGCTCTGGAAGGAGGGCTCCAGAGCAAACTAATTTAAGCAGTAGCCAAATCGCTTGGCTTTAATGCCAGTAGCTCACAAAGTAGAATTTTTGCTCACGAGACTCCACAGCGTAGAGAGAGCATTGCTCCAGGCACCTGTTCACAGTTCCCACAGCCTCCCTGGAATCTACTGAAAGCGTGAGATGGAGCTGAGTGTCCTCTGCATATTGGTGGCAGCTCAGCCCAAATCTCCAGATGATCTCTCCCAGCAGCTTTACATAGATGCTGATAACCAAGGGGGACAAGATGGAACGCTGAGAAACCCCATGGGCCTGAGGCCAAGGGGCAGAGCAACACCCCCACCCAACACACACACACACAGTTATCTATAATTGTCAAGTTGCAAATCAGTCATGTTAGAGGAGCTAGATATGGGCTATGAAGAATGGGCAAACCCCAGCGCTTGTACGTGGACCAGGTGTACATGGTGTATTTGCCTTCTTTTGCTACCATTATTGAGATTTTAAAATATTTAATTCTGAATCAGGAAAAAAAATCCAATTATATTTGTTTTGGAGAACCCACATCACTGACTGTATTTCAAACGAGCAGGCAAAATCCAACACAAAGTCAAGCCATTATGAACTCAGATCAGAAATTTGGAACCAAATTCCTCTCCCTCAGTCCTGCAGCTCACAATTGTAACAGGATGATAACACGACAGACCTGTAAACTAATCCCGTAAGAACGTTTGAGAAGTATGGGCCAGATTCTCCCTATGGCAAGTATGACTACTGTTTTTATATGTTTTAATGTGTTTTAAATTTTATTGTATTTATTGAAAAGCTGTGACCCCCCCGCCCTGAGCCCGTTTACGGGATGGGCGGGATAAAAATGCGAAACACAAACAAACGAACAAATAAATAAATACTGTATGCAAATCATGAGTGCTTCGCAAATAGTATATTTTTTTCTTGCAACGGTTTTTGTTTTCTAGGTGCAGAACTAATATCCACTGGGGGGAACCAAGCTCTGGTTAGCATGATAAATACACATTAAAACTAATTTTGATGGAACATGGAAAGAGAAAGTATTGGCATCATAACATTCAAAATTCATTAACTTGCAACACCAGCCTTCCGCTACATATTATGAAAATATCAGGGTACTGGTAGGGCGTTAAATGGAAAGTTCTGTTTCTCTTTCCTAGGAATAGAGCAGGATATCTATTTAAATAGATTAAGGAATTAGACTTCCAACAATTAGGAGCACCTCCGTTACATACCAACGTTTTAGAAAAAGATGAACTGAGCATTAATAACTATTTGCTCCTAAGCTGCTTTCAGTTGGCATTTAATCGATTCCGGTACTAGCCAGTACACAAATTCTCTCCTCCCGCCCCAATCGTGATACACACAAGGGTTTCAGCACAAGATACACAAAAGGTTTAAAGGCAAGCAGCAAGAAAAAGCTAGGTTCTTTTTTTTAAAGAGACTTTTTATTTATATGCTGTACCGTTAACAACACAATTATCCCCAAATAAAATAAACTGTAGTAGAATCACCAAGCTGAAAAGAGCACACAATCAATACAATTTGACCCAAGTTAAGAGATCCAGCAATTTTCATGGGAGATCTAAGCACAGACTTTACAATGCAATCCTTAAGAGTTATACCACTCTAAGGCCAGGTTCAGGTGGGAAGCTATGTTGGTCTGAAGCAACCGAACGACGTTTGAGTCCAGTGGCACCTTTAAGACCAACAGGCATAAGACCAAGTCCACCCCGAATTAAACTTTGTTGGTCTTAAAGGTGCCACTGGACTCAAATGTTGTTCCATTCTGAGGCCAATGGCCTTAGAAGGCTGCAACTCTGTTCAGGCTTGTACTGAAAGCTTGTCCCATTTAAAAATCAATGGAATTTCAAAGTGCCCAGCTTTGACTAGACCATGCCTATGGCACTCTCTGCCACTGCTCTGACTCAGGCATAGAGCCTCATCTTTCTCTGCATTTTTCATTCCAGCATAGATCCTGGAGCACTCACAGCTCTGGGCCACACATAGTATGTCGGGGCATAATCCAACCTAAGCATTTCAAAGCATTTTACTCTACTGAAATGAACGGGGGGGATTCATTTGTGCTTATCTTTGGATGGAAAAGAGACTCTGAAGGACATGAGGAGTCACCGTATGTCCACCGTCGCCCCTTTTCCCTTCATCACATCAGGATGTGGTGCAAGTTGTACTAGACACCAACGTGCCTTGCAATTTCTTGCCAAAGGTGACCAGCAATGTCAGACCATTGGGGGTGAGCTGTACTACATGGCATGGAGGGGCAGGGGGCAAAACTCAACACAGGCTTGCCATTTCTGGCAGCGGCCCTGCATACCTTACATCACTCCATTCCACTTCTGCCTGCACTGGTAATTGTTAATTTTTAGCTCCAAAACTGCTTCAAGAGGTGGTATAAATACTATTTTGGAAGATTTACCCTATTGGATTACATATTGCTAACGGCCATCAACAATGGGAGTGCGCTGCTACAACTCAGGTCAGTGCCTGGGTAAAGGCGTGGCAGAAGATTCTTTGCTTTCCGTCAACGCCCTCGGCTGATGAATAAACACACTGAACTTGACTCCTTGGTTGGCAGCTGCCCTAACGAAGCCACTGTTTGCAGTCATGGTAACGGCCTTCAAAGTATCCCCCGTCCCAAAGATGGTTAGCGAGCGGCTATTGATTTTGGAACTGAGGACTAGCTGCAAGGCACGCTCGGAGGGCTGATCTGGCACCACGTTGACCCTGTCCAGGAGTAACGCAGCCCTGTTTTTCTCCCCGGGCCCTCCTAAAGTTTCTAAAATGACTTGGAAGTCTTTGACGGCAGATTCGCAAGCAAAGAGCTCCTTGCCCTTCACGAATTCCTCCAGGGATGGGAGGACGCTCTCCTCCCTCTCCTGCACGGCCTGCTCTGTTAAGACTTTCTCCTTGAAGATGAAGTAGCAGCCTCCGTAGCTAAGGGCAGAGACGTATGTGATCAAAGTCGTAATATCCAAGTTAATTCTGTTGCACGAGTCCACCCTGATCTGGGTGGGGAAAGCCACACTGGCGACCAGCTTGCCCCGATCCACTTTAGTCACGGGCAAGGGCTTGCCGCTTTCTTCGTCAGATTCACCAGAGCTTAACTGGAGGCCTTCGTTGGTGGGCTCCCTCAGGACGTTCACAGCAACAATGTCCCCTCGTACCGATATGCCCATCTCTTGCAACCTCTCCGCCATGGGGCACGACACCCCGTTGTAGAAAGCAAAGACAATGTGCGGGTTGCTGTACTGAACAGGCTGCTGGCGACTCGCTCGCAGGAAGTCTTCCGCCTGCTCGATGATGCTCTTGTCTCCATACTGGCCTCTCCCCAACCAGATGTTGTGCAGGGCTTCGGCCTTCCGGCCAACGGCCTTCACCCAGGTGTGGCCGTTGTTTGCCACTACATCCACCACCAAGCTCTGCTTTTCACCAAAGCTGTCCTCGTAGGCAAAGACGTGGAGGATGCCCACAACAGCCTCCAGGCACTCTGCTGACTCTAGGACGGCTTGCAGGTGAGTGAGGTTCGTACTCTGCAGATGAGACTCTTTGACGGACACCTTACCGGCCTCCACCTTCTGCAAAAATTTCAACTCTGCCTTTAGTTTACTGCACAGCTTTGCTCCGCCTTCTATGCCACCTTTCCGGGACTTGGAAAGGTCTTCTGCTCTTTTTATTAGCTCCTTAGCGACAGCAATTCTCTCACACAACAAGGAGTACGTAGACATGTTGGTAACATCACTCCTGAGAAAGAGAGAGGGGAAAGCAGCGTTAGTGGGAGTTAAGAAAAAGCTACTTCAAAGGCCTCCGTGTCTGGGTGTATGTGCCAAAAGCCTCTACATCCTGATATGCGCTTTAGAAGTTACTAAAAATGCCTCCGCCCAAGGGTAAACCCCATGCAAGCCTGCCTCAATGGGGCCCCAGAAGGATTTGGTAAGTATGCCATTTCAGAGTTTACCGGGCCCACCAAATTCTGTGGGGTAATCTGCCTGAAAAATCCCATGAGGTGGATTACTCCACAGAATTCTCTTTTCGAAGTGCGCCCTTTTGGATTTATATTACTCCAGCCAAGAAAGCTAAGAATGTTTTTTAAAACATAGACACCACCTCATATGATCTCACCCCTCAAAAACCCAATTCTAAAAAGTAAGACATTCATACCACAACTCTCAAGCCATATACACTGAATTCAGCAATGTTTCTAAAATAAATACACGAAAAGATGAAAAGCTGGTTTTTATGGCCTGCTTTTCTCTCCCCTGGAGCTGCGGTGGCTCAAGTGGTTAAGACACTGAACTGCAGGCTGTGGAATGTCAGTAGTTCAGCATTTCGAGACCCGGGTGCCGCATGATGGAGTGAGCTCCCATCTCTAGTTCCAGCTCCTGCCAACCTAGCAGTTCGAAAGCAAGAAATTGCAAGTAGATAAATAGGTACCACTTCGGTGGGAAGGTAACAGCGTTCCGTGCGCCCCACGGAAATGTCTTCGGACAGCGCTGGCTCTTCGGCTTGGAAACGGAGATGAGCACTGCAATCCTAGAATTGGATTCGACTGGCTTTCGAGCAAGGGAACCTTTACCTTTACCTTTTTTCTCTCCTCTAAACAGTCTCAAAGTGGCTTACAATCACCTTCCCTTCCCTCTTCCCACAATAGGCACCTTGCAAGGTAGGTGGGCCTGAGACAGGTCTGAGAGAACAGTGACTGGCCCAAGGTCACCCAGCAGGCATAATCATGTGGGTTATTATTTCTGAGGTTTTAGTCTCTGCTTTTAATTTAACACTGGGGGGGGGGGAGGTTTTGTGCTGAATCCTGGGGGGGGGGCAGAAGGGACAGAAAAACCCTCAGTAGAGACTCCATGATAATTTCAGGGATAAAAGCTTTCTGGTTATTTCACAGCTTGTTAGAAACACATCGCAGCTAAAGTTCAGGACAGTTGAGACTTAGCTTAGAACTTCATCCGACCAAGCGCATGGCCAATCCGTTAAACTTGAAATGTTTTCTAGTGATGCAAAACACTGCCACCTGCTGCCATTATAAGGGCACTGCAACACACTTTTTTTTTCCTTCCAAAAAACCTAAGTCTAGAAATAAGCATTTTGGGGCCTGGAGGTCAAGCCTGTCCCCTGAAGGCCTTCCACCTGGCCTTTGGTGCTCTTAATCCCAGTCATTCACAGAGGCATACTAATGGGCCTCTCAGTTATTTTCTCTCCCACTGCAAAATGGGCAAGGGGCTCTTCAACACCTGCTCTTGCAGGAGGAACAAGAGTCTGCCTGCCAAGGTCTACCTCGTTCATCCTACAAAAACAGGTGTTAAAGAGCCCTTTGCCCATTTCATGCCTAGGCCAAGAGGACAGAAGGAAAGGATACCGAGCAACTGCAGTGCCTCAAGAGCTCTATCAGCACCTCAGTCACAGTCCCTACTTGGGGGAAGAAAGGCACCGTCTCAGATTTATGCTGAGTTCCAGTGCTGGGCCAGGGTTCCCTCTAAGCTGAGTTAGTGTGAGCCAGCTCACAGTTTTTAGCCTCCGGCTCACACATTTTTGTCTTAGCTCAGGAAGGATGGCTCCAGAGCAACCTAATTTATGCAGTAGCCAAATCGCTTGCTCACAGCTTTAATGCCAGTAGCTCACAAAGTAGAAATTTTGCTCACAAGACTCCACAGCTTAGAGGGAGCATTGGTGCTGGCAACCCTCCATTCTTTGTTCACTTGAAAAAAGGGGCCCTGCAAAATGCATAGTGGCAACCAGGGTTCTACTCTGATTTCTGCTGCCAACTCCTCATCACTCTCTCCATGTCAGTGTGCTAAGGGTTACTCCTGCTTGATTATGAAAGGTCAAGGCAAGGTAGGTAAAACCACAGCAACATATGTTTGCAGAACATATATATATTTTAAAAAATCATCTTACTTTGTTTATGTCCCACCTTTGTCCCCAAAGTAGCTTGCATTGTTCTTCTCTCCTCTGTTTTAACCTCACAACAACTCTGTGAGGTAGGCTAGGTCGAGAGTGACTGGCCCAAGCAAAGCTTCCATGGCAGAGTGGGGATTCGAACCTGGGTCTCCCGGATCCTAATCCAGCACTATAACCACAACACAACACTGGCTCTCAACTACTCAAAGCACTGGTCCTTGTGCCGTTTTGACTAAAGTGATCTTTCCCAGCTGTGCTAGAACCTGGATTATTCCCCCCCCCCCCCAGGAATGCTAGGAACTATACCCATACCTGGAGGCTGTAACTGTTACCACTGAACAACAGCCCCTTCCCAAGTAGGTGTGTGTCCTTCACAATGGACCAGCCTTTTGGTCAGGCCCATAGCTACCAGGGGCCGGTTCCCAACTTACCACCCAGGCCTCCTGACTTTTCCCTGAGCCAGGTGGAGAGCGCCACCACCACCAAGGAGCTCACAGCCTCCCCACGCTCCAGTGCACGAAAGAAAAGAAAAAAGAGCATGGGTCAAACTTGGCATCTGAGCCAGGCATAGATAGGCCAGTTGTGGCTCTTTGCACCGTGTCCGACTCTGGAGGTGCAGATTCTGGAAGCCAGCCCCGCTGAGTTCGGTGGGGACGCGCTGTGCCCCAGGAAAGGGTGCTTTTGGGATCACCTTGGTACTGAAGTCACGATCCTCTCCACCTGGAGGTGTGCCCGCCCCCCTATAAAATCCTGGCTATGGACCCACTTTTGGTTAACAACCCGGCCTACCCGCCTGCCCCATCATCCAGAGGGATGGCATTAGAGGAAGCAAAGAAGCTGCCTGTAAAGAAGAGACCAATCGCCACTTTGCCCTGGAGGGTCAACCTTGGGCTAGTTGCTCTCTCTCAGCACTAACTTCCTTAACAGGACTGTTGTCGTGAGAAAATAGAGGAGGAGGAGGAGCATGTGTTGCAAGCTGCTTTAGGTCGCCATTAGGGAGGACAAATACATATATTTTGCAGGGGTGAGTGGGAGAGGCTGACCTAAGCCACCAGTGTCTGCCTCGGCACTTCCTGTACCTGAACTACTTCTACCCCAGGCTGTGGAAGGTCAGTAGTACAGTAGTTCAGCAGTTCGAGACCCGGGTGTACCGCATGACGGAGTGAGCTCCCGTCTCTAGTTCCAGCTCCTGCCAACCTAGCAGTTCAAAAGCAAGAAATTGCAAGTAGATAAATAGGGACCACTTCGGTGGGAAGGGAACAGCGTTCCGTGCGCCTTGGTGTTTAGTCATGCCGGCCACATGACCACGGAAACGTCTTCGGACAGCGCTGGCTCTTCGGCTTTGAAACAGAGATGAACACCGCAACCCTAGAGTCGGACTCGACTGGCTTTCGAGCAAGGGAAACCTTTACCTTTACTTTACATCAGTGATTTGCTTTCTCGAAAGGAGTAGATATTACCGGGGCTCGGGTGGACGAAAACGGAACACAGCAAGAAGCTGGAAATGGCAGGGGAACGCAACGCGGTTTTTCCCCCCTCTTTTGGAAAGCGAAGTTCTCTCCCTTCCACTTCCGCTAGAGGAGGACGCGGTTTCTGCGGACGCTTATAATAAGGGCCTTGCGGTAAAGGCAGATGGTGTGGGTACTTCCGGTTGGCAGCCGGCAGTTACAAGCGTGAGGCCCGCCCCGCCATGTTAAGTGATGGCAGCAAAACTCTGGTCTCTTGATGGCGAGTTTCAACAGATTTTAACAGTGCCGTCCTATTAAGGGCGTTTACTCCGAAGTAAGTCTGATTGAGCTCGGCGGGGTTGACTGCCTAGTAAATGTACTTAAGGCTTTCCAGCCTGAATTTCCTCTGCTTCCATATCGCCGGCTACCAAGGCTGCAAACTTAAGACCCATTTTACCAAACCGGGGTTTACTTCTGAGTAAGCATGCCTAGGAGAGCACGGCGAGTTTCATAAACTCGGGCTGTCTCACAGCCATCGCTAAGCCGGCGAGGAAAACAAGAGGTACATTTTGAAGATCGCCTAGGAAGACCCAACTTCATGGTCATTACAGCTGATGCAACGCGAAGCCTTCTGGTTGCACAGCCCACGATCTCGCTGCAAGGACGTTGTTGGCAACGCTTGGCCGGTCGGCTTCGTCACTCTCGTTCACAAAGAAGGAGGCGGCGGTAGATTTTCTCCAAGGCCTGTGGAAGGCAGCAGGAGGAGGGGCCCAACAACGCCTGGCTTCTTTACTCTGGCTATTTCCAACTTGCAAGAAGTCGTCTTTCCCCAGACCAGCCGCATTCATTGACCGCAACACATCCTGAGGTTTCCCCCTCCCTCCTTCCTTCCTTTTGGGATGCCTAACCTGGATCGCGGAGCGCCCCCTCCCCGACTCGGTTAATACTTACAATTGCCCCGATTACATGACAGGTAATTCCGACGATTTCCTCCTTTCTATCAACGGAACAAAGAGATAGCTTTGCAAAACCTAAGGGTGTTACTTAGCCCATACTTCCGGTTCCGATTACGCACCTCCATGTGCGGGGTGGGCTTGATCTGAATAAGGTAATTGGTGAGTAAAAAGGGAAAGGGGGCATTTTTTTTTTAAAAAAGTCATGCACTGTCTGTCTGAGTTCCATTTGTTTAATCTGCTAAAATCTGTTAAATATCTTTATTATGCTGTGTGATGATTTACTGCTCACCCTCTACCTACATATAGAGACTGGTAATTTCCATTTTTGCTTCTGCATGTCTTGACTCTAAATGGCCCTTCCTGGCAACTAACCCCCCCCCCCCCAATATGTAATGGGAGGCGGAAATTCTGGTTCACTGTATCTGAGGAAGTGTGCATGCGCACAGATCATACCTTGAATAACACTTTGTTGGTCTTCAAGATGCCCCTGGACTCAGACTTTGTTCTGCTGCTTCAGACCAACACAGCTACCCATCTGGATCCATCTGTTTAAAGTGTAAGGCATGACTTAGCCTTAAAAAAGTCAGTGGAAGGGTCTTAAAATGGAAGAAGTCAACGTGGCAAAGAGAACATTGATGTGGCATATGATCACAACTGCCAGAATGACGTATGCTCAATCTTGGAAACAGGACAGAGTCCCTGAAATTGGGGAATGGATGAAGAAATTACTCTTTATGGTTGAAATGGACGAAATGACAAGGAAACTTAAGAATTTGGAGGCGGAAGAATTTTTTGAAGACTGGAAAGACTTTAAGGAATATTTAGAGAAATACTGGGATGTAAAGGATAATTTGATTTGCTTTGATAGTTACTAAAAACTAAATGATAATAGAATAAGGATAAATGTATAAGAATAGTAGTTGAAATATGTTACCTATAGATTGTGAACAGCGGGAAAGGGAGACATAAAGAAAATCTAAGATATGGGCTGGAGGTTGGAGCACTGTGGGAAGCCCAGAAGGGAGTGGGGTATAGTGGAAATGGATGTATGATAACCAGGGCTCTAGTCGGGGGGGAGCTCTCAGGTACGGAGCTCCGGAAGAGAACCTCTAGGGGGCGGGGCGGTCATGTGGTGAAGCCCCGCCCCCTTCTTTACCCCGCCCTCTGCTTCGATCCTCATTCCGTTTGGGAATGAGGATGAAGCAGGAGGGTAAGTAGCCGGGCCTTCTGACACACTTCCGGTGATGTCAGGGAGTGTGGCCTTCTGTCACTTCCGGTGATGTCAGGGGGCGTGGCATATGCAAATAAGTTATGCTAATGAGTTATGCTAATGAGCTCCGGCAGCTCTTTTTCTACAACAAGACCCCTGATGATAACTAAATAAGTTGATATATGTTTGACTTTTTATTATGTCCTAATTGGTTTTTTTTGGGGGGGGGTCAGTGGACAAATTGAGGGTCCAGGGTCCAAAACAGCTGTTATTTTGGACCCTCAATCGTCAGCTTGTCTCCTGATTCTTCTCAGGTGGAATTACGCCTCCTAGGGTTGCCAGCTTCCAGGTGGGGCCTACATATCTCCCAGCATCACAGTGGTTCTCCAGACGGCACAGGTCAGTTCCTCTGGAGAAAATGGCACCTTGGAAGGGTGGACTCCATGCTGAAATCTCACCCCACCCTCCATTCCGAAATATCCAGGAATTTTGCAACCAGTTGCCAGTCCTACTTACAACCCAAACAGTAGAATGGAAAGCAGTGGCAGAAGTCCTTTGCGCAGGGCGGGGTGGGGGGGAGCCTCCTGCCTGTTTGCTTTGACATTTGAGCATTCAGCCACAAATCTCTGTGAAATTCTAGACGCACAACGGACTCCCATTAGTTGGGTCCATAATGCTCAACTGAGGAAATGTCTTCTGCCTTCCCCAAACCATGCAACAGGTCAGAAATCTTGCTTTGCTCACCTCCTGATGCTGAATTTCTACCTACGATCCTCTTAAAGACCGGGAGCCCTGCTGCCCCCCAACTCTCTTTTCTTGCCTCTACACAACTTGTGCACATTTTCAGGGGACAGAGAGTACGGTGATGCACCAGGTCAGTTCGACTTGTGAGCAGGGTTGCCAACTCCTGCTTGGGGAAAACCTGGAGATTCTGAGGGTGGAGTCTAGGAAGGGAGAGGTTTGGGGCATAGCGCCACAGAGTCGACCTTCCAAAGCAGCCGTTTTCTCCAGAAAATCTGGAGATTTCTGCCATCTGGAGATCAGCTATAATCTTGGGAGACCTCTAGTCCCCACCTGGAGGTTGGCAACCCTACTTGTGAGTCATTAGAATCTAAATACCAGGTCAAAAGTCAACAGGCCACACCTTTCTCATAGCTGTATCTCCACCTGTTGAACTTCCTCTTTGAAAATCATAGGAGCTTCCCTGCTGCCCGAGCCTCTAATCGTTTGCCCTGTTTTGAGTCAAGGGTGCCTTAAAAAAATATTTACATTAATTCATTGCATATTTCCACGCTCTTGCTTCAGACTGGGAACCTATCAATTACGCTGGGAAACCGGAAGTGTCGCTAGGGAACTCCGACGACTGTAGCTCCTTGCTTTTAACTCCATCTCAGTGTTCCGGACTAACCCAGGCTTGTGAACTCGTCACAGTGCCCCCGCGCAGCAGCCGCCCGCTCGTCAGACCTGCAAGGCAAAGAAAACTCCCTGGCCAAGTTCAACCCTACCTCCACCGTTTACATATTCTCGGTTTGTTTTATGGTAACAGCACCTTTTGCTACAACAGGACGTAAATTCAAGCAGGGGCGTAACCAACCTTTCCAGGACACTCAGCTGAATTTGTGTAGTACAGCAATTCATATGAGATGACATTGGCTAAGTGGAAAGTTACAGCCCTGGGGACTCATTCAAAGAAGTGAGAGGGCCCAGGGTGCTAACAGTCCACAGCAAATAGCTGTGTGGAGGGGCCTTGTTTATAGTCCAGGCTTCCTCTAAAGTTTATCCAGTTTTATTTTCACAACAAACCTGACAGGTAGGTTAAACAGAAATTTCATGCCTCTCTCTCTCTCTCTCTCAAACCCCCAAGACCTTTCTGGGCAAACGTTACTGTTATTCCATCACTTTTATTATGCATTTGGTGTACTAAAGTCAGTTGGCCTTAGGCACAGCTCACTCTGCTTAACTGCAGTCCTGCAGGCACATATTAACTCTCTTTAACTCAAGGGGACTGTATCCCAAACAAACATGTATGAGGCCATACAGCTGCAATGTTGCATGTGTTTGCGTTTCACCTAGTGAAGCAAGCATGTAATGAGCACACATGCACACAATCCGCGATTTAGCATTCAACCAAGCAGCCCCTACAAGTTGCACAGTAAGTTGTTGGGGCCAATTATGCTTTGGCAGCAAAGTCTTATATATATTAATTTCCACGTACCACCCTCGAGAACGGGAATCCGGGTCACTTGGGACTGGGTGCTGCAGTGGCTAGGGATGCACTGGGTTCAAAGCTCTGCTTGCTGTGTGACCACAGCCTAACCAACCTCTCGGCCTGGTTGTTGTGAGGATAAAATGGGAGAGGGAAGGATGCAAGGAGCTTTAGGTCCCTACTGGGGAGGTAAGCGGGGTATAAATACTTAAATGAATGTGATGCCGTCCAGTATTTCTTCAGCTTTTAATGACAAGATCATAAAATCCTATAGCATAGACTGAAATGACCTGCACTGGCTAAGGACTCTGGAGGTGGTTCTGCCTGGCCAGAAGCAGAACTGAGCAAGCCCCACCCTCCTTTCCAAGTGACCACCTGCAGGTCTGAGCTTGTAGGGCACAAGCACTGCTCTCTTCCTCTGAGCATGTGTGTGGGGAGGGGGGAAGGTAGGGCTAGTGAGCATCCTCTAGGGTGACCAGCTCTGGGTTGGGAAGTAACTGGAGGTTTTGGGGGCGGAGCCTGGGAAGGGGCAGGACCTCAATGGGGTATGGTGCCAGAGTCTACCTTCTAAAGTAGCCATTTTCTCCAAGGGAATTGATATCTGTTGTCTGAAGATCTGAGGAAGTTGTAATTCCAGGAGATCTGAAGCCACTTCCTGGCAACCCTTGCATCATCTCACCCCTCCTTAACTACCTTACCTGACACAGATGTGCCCAAGGCTGTAGCAGCCACTGATGGAAGACATGATTAGAGGTCACAGCCTCACAGGGTACTACGGTTCTACAAAGAGTTGCAGTAACAGAACCCACCTCATCCTTAATATCAATGAACTAATCCGATGTGAGAATGTCCTGGATTTTTTCTAAGTTAAAAGCACTCAGGAGACAACCATGGATCCAATGGGATGTATGGAAACCAAGGTGAAATTTTGGTTTTAGCTCTGGAGAAGCACAAGAATACAGACTGCGATGTCTTCTGCACAAACAGGTCTCCCTGCTTATGCATTTGTATTCCTCCGCCTCTTTCACTCATTTCTGCAGAGGTATTTGCAGTCCGAGGTGCAAAAACGCAGCTTGTCCTCTCTTGTGGTTCAGCATTAGACTTCTGTTTTTGGGAATTCCCTTGCTGCGCCACAAGAGGGAGCAAACTGCATTTTTGCTCCCCAGACTGCAAATACCTCTGCAGAAATGAAAGAAAGTAGCGGAGGAATACAAATGCAGGTGAGGAGACCGATTTGTAAGGAAAACGTCTGCCACAACCTTGCCCTTGAGTGAATGTGTGGTGTATTACATATGCATAGCAAAAAAACTTGGCTCCCCCCACTAATAGTGTTCATAACCTCAAACCGGTTTGTTTCTGGCCTGCTGATTGCTATCCTCAGATCAAAAGACTACTCTGTAATTCCCTACAGAAAGGGAAGTTGTCAGCAGAAAGCCACGGCAGGGGGGGCACAGCAATTGTGCCAAAACTCTGGAATAAGCCCCTTAGTGAAGCTGTTCTGGAGGGATAGCCCAACAAATCGATTTTGCATTGCCCTGGATACCAAAATCGATCCAAAGACAACTGGCAGGTACAGCTGTTAGTGACAGACTTTTTTTTACAGTTGTTGAACCTGAT